AGGACACAGACAATACATTGAACCAATCAAAACTCGAAGTAATTACATGTGGCTGACGCAAAGCGCGGGAAAATGCATGCGAGCGCGTCACAATTGGCTTTGGTTTTACTTCTGATTGGATGAAAAGGTGGCGCGAATCTTTTAAGCCAATCGCATCGTGTAGAAAGTGCAAAACCAATTACTTTTCGACACTCAAATGAAAAGCGCTCTATCTAGAGTATGAACAATCGCTCTGCCGTCGCGTTTTGCGCTTACAAAAAAAGGAAGAGCTCCTAACAACTCACTCAAGTCGAAAAAACGTGATAAAAATTGAAAGAATACGAATTCACTTTCAACAGTAAACGTTCTCACTTCCATCTTCTTTGTGGCTGATTAAGGCCTGTTTAAGCAGGTCAAATAAAGATGTGTGTAAGCACCTGTGTTGGATGATGTTGGACCAACAGTGCTGGAGTATGTTGGACCAAATATGCTGGATAATTGGATCAGCAGTGTTGGATGTTAGACCAACAACGTTGGTCGCACCTTTAATGTTGGACTAATGATGTTGGACAAACTGTGTTAGGTGATGTTGGACCAACAATTATGTCCGATGTTTGATCAAAAATATGCTGTTGTGCCAACAACGTTGGGTGATGTTGTTTGTCCAACAGTGCCGGATGGTGCTGCAATTTTGGACCAACTTGTTGAACCTGTTCAAACGTCCTCTTAAGCTTTATGATTTTCGTTCAGTCATTCTTTTTTTTCCAGGAGACCAACTTGATGGTTTACAGTTCCACTTTCCCGGAGCTGGTCTAAATGACAGTCAAAGCGATGGAAACGTCACTCAGGATGAAATCATCGACCATGGTAACCATGACGACGAAGATAACCTCCAATTGTCGGCTCTTCAGGAATATATTAACATGATTGACGACGATGGAGAGGAAAGTGGGGAGGACACGTGACAAATTCAATGAAGAATTTTAATTTATTCATACTCCTGGGCCCGGTTCCTGAAAGGCAGATTAGCACTAATCCTGGATTAAGTTTTGTTCCAGTCTCACTACTGTATCTCAGAGTAAAGGCTCAACAACATCTGTAAACTTGAGTTACATGTTTTTAGCCAAGAAAACCGTGCTTACAATTCAGTTGGCTTAATCTTCGGCTAAACTTAACCGTCTTTCGAGGAACCGTGCCCTGGCTATAACTATAATTATTGTAAATTTTCCTGACCAGAATCAATTTAGTTGTTTCTAAGACTTGAAAGTTTTGAATTTTTATTGTTAACTGGTTATATTAGTTCCATCCTCTGTTAGTTTGAGTTATTTCAGGTACAGAAGCATACGGAAACAACCTAATGATTCTGGAAGTTATTTCCATTGGTTTTATTATTTTTATGAACAAAATACCATCAATTGTTTATTTTTTTTAAATGGGAGTTGATTTTTATTTTTTATGTATATTTGCTACTGATTCTAATTGATATATAAAAAGATAAAGAATACGATGTTTTACGTCATCGTACAGATTTTACTTTTTATCAGGTTTTGTCTCAAAGATATAAAATAAATATAAAATCGAAATTTTAAGGTTATGCGAACATCATGTTCACAAATCAATTTGGAAATATTTTGTTCTTGGCGAAAGTTTGTTGTAACCATGTTTCAGGCCTTTTTTATTCCATTATTTAAGATGTCACACACTCACTTTTTAAATGCTTGTGAAATTTACTGTAAAATTGCGCATTGATTCACTTTTTATTTGATTTCACAATTATTATCGCGTTTTATGCAGTCCTATATATACTAAGCTGATTATAAACTAATCAGTCTCCAGGCGGGAGGTGTTGTTGTTGTTTTTTAGTTTTTTTTTATGATTATTCGAGAGAACCTAATAATTATGCCAACCCAGAAAATTTATTGTGACTGGATACATTGGTTGCCTCTGGAAAACCGCTGACCAATCAAAACTTCCTTTTTTTGACGTCACGCAAAGGATCCAAGAAATCAACTCAATAAGTCGTTGATGAAACAGGTCTATCGCTTCAGTGGCGAGAGTATTGTGGAGTCGTAATCGGAAAAAACCTTTTTGTCTACTGTAAATCAAACGGACAGGAGCACAAGCCTTGCTTTCATTCTGCTAAATTTAGGATGGCGGGCAATGACATACTATGACAGCTTCAATTCTTGGCAAAACAGTTAATGGTGTAATGTTACAGATGTCGGTGAAGTAAGTTACAAGTTTCCTATGCTTTGAAAATACAAATTTGAAGCCTACTGCATGAGGATGTTACCCTGGGTACCAGAGGATTTTCTCGCGTGCGGCGGGAATTTTCGGTGTTGGCCGAAGGCCGAGACATCTTCTCGCTTGGATGTCATATGAAACACTCTTCTCCAATGGTCAAAAACGCAAAGAAAAATTTATATGTATGATTCTTTTGATCCTTCACGCCTGTGAGTTTTTATTTTTCTTCGTGAATGGGAGAATGTTTCGTTTGACCTTGAAACATGGTTTTTGTGAAAAGATTAAAACAAGGTGTCGTCGTGTTGAGGCCAAGACAGTATATTTTTGTTCGCTTGTTGTATAATATAGCGTTATCATTTCAAGGTCAAACGACTTTCTCTTATCAGTGAATTTAAGAAACGCAACAGTTTTTTTGGACAGGACCTTACTTAAAAGTGGTGTAATTGTATGGGTACCGTGTAAATAGTAAGTTATTTAATGACAAGTAATCTGTTACCTTCATGAGGTAATTACTGTGACAACCAATTAAAATGTCAAATACCAGAGGGAATATATTATTCTCAAAGTGATTCTTTTACATAGATTTGTAACATGGAATAAGTCCTTATCGTTTCCCTTGAAAATGATAATAACAATAATGATAAGTTATGGTAACAGGGCTGAGTGCAGTCCAATTTGGTCTGTAATAATACGAGTGAATAACAAAATTGGACGACCGCGTACCGTGAGTCCGATTTGTTTAATCACGAGTATGATTACAGACCGAATTGGACAACACGAAGTTCTGTTACCAATTAATCATAACTTTAAGAAAATTTGTGATATAATAGGCTATTTCTTTTTAATCAAAACCCAAGAAATTCCTAATTTTTTTTTTGCTAGCAGTGAAACTGAAAAGTCATTTAAGAGCGCGCGTGATGGCGCGTACTGTCCAAGTAAGGCTGAAATCAGGGCAGTTGATAGCCAATCAGATTTTGTTATAGTTATGATCACAATGAAAATACTTTGTAAGGGTCGTGCGTAAAATACCGTTATCTTGGCCTTGGAAATGCACGGTATTTCACGATCCGGACCTTCCCGCATGGAAATAAGATTCTTTAGTTATGGCGATGCTTTCGCACTACGGCCACCCTCTTGACGTGGGCTTCTTTTTCTGTATAGGATCGTTTATCTAACCTACGAAAATGTCAATGGATGGGTCGAAAATTTTTGTAGTGTATGACATGACAGTGCAGATTTGCAAAACCAAGGCAATAATAAAAAAACGCTCTTAAAACTAATGATTTAAAACGTCCTATGTCACAGTCTTTTCGTATGTGAAGTCTCCTGTAGCTTCACCATAGTGAACAACGTAGGATGGTAGGATATGATATGAGTTAAAGATCACAAGTTCCTTCCCGTCTGGAGAGGTGTGTGAATCATGCCCCGTTTCCAAGGGCTCCCCGTGAATCAGATTGGTACATCGATAAACCTTTCCTGGGAGCACCTGGCACAGAAGGAGCTTTGATGCACCTCTGATGTAGTTCATGGAGTAGGAAGGGTACTCGCTGAAGTACACTCCACGGCCGTAATTTCCTACCCGAGTAATGGAAACATAAAATTAGAACAGCGACAGCCAGGCATCACAACAGATGGCTGGGTCAGTCCGCTTTTGCACATAGTAGGCGGATTGGGCAAAGACAAGGAGACGAAAGTCACCACGGCGCGCGCAGATCTAAGAACCGATTTGGCCAATGACAGAGAGGAAAATTGAACACTGGAAGTCGCGTTCAGTCCGTTCCGCACGCCTTCGCGTTCTTATTTGACGTTGTGTTGTCTTTGCTAAATCTGCCTGTAGTATTCCGAGACCACCAAGGAGTTACTACCTCGGATACTCCCAAACGACACACACATTGGTGCCTTTGAAATAACAAAAGTATTGGGGAAGGATGAACCACTTCCGTATAACGTGATACCGTACGATTCCTAAAATAGCATAGAGGAGTTCCGATAGCAGGGTATACTCTAATATAACAGTGACGCGTAAGACTCCGAAAATTGCAAGCGGGGTGAATTATCTTATTTACAATTCAAACCAGAGGAGATTGGACCGCAGTCCGCAAAGGATCTTGGGGTGAATTATCGAAGAGATCAGCTTCGGATTCAAACTGTATGGGACTGAGGGGGGCTACTCCAAATAAATCAACCCATGGAAAAATAGCGCGTTTTCGCGCGGCTTCATCCTTGATTTCGGAGGGGGTGGGGGGGATGAGGAGTTTGCTTTGAATTTCATTATATTGTGCTCAAGATCGTAGCCTACCACGTAGACGTCCATAAAGCTTTGTCACGCAGTCACGCATTCTTTAACGGACACGTGAAGCCCTAAATAAGATCGTTGCCTTAGAGACTGACCTGGGACCGTACTCACCTGTATCAGTTGCATGTTCAAAATTTGCATCTCCCGGAGCACGAAATCCACTGTTACATATGGAATGTATGTTCGTCTCCTTTGTTCCATGGAATGCCAGCACTGGGTAGGACATCTCTTCACCTCGTGCGTTTTTCAGCTTCTGGCGAGATTTCTGGAATCTTCTGATCAACACAGGATTAACGACATACTCCACCTTGGTGACTCTATACTTATCTGTGGTGTCTACGAGTCTGTAAAACTGCGATTCTGAAACAAATAAGAAAACAAAACAGACTAGAGACACTAGACTTGTCCTTTCGTACCTAATAGAGCCTTTTCACTCACGCGTCATCAGCTACGCAAATTTATTGTAAGAAAGAATGTATTTTTCTGTAAGAAAACTGCCTGGCGTGCTGCGCAATTCTATTGTGAACTGAAGCTAACTTTGTGCAAGTCGAAATAAAGGTTCTTTTAACCCCTTGGCCTAAATTTGGGTAAAGTAGACGGCCACAACTACAATTTTGTATCTGTGCGGTAATTGGTTCGATTTTACTTTTTACATATCCGTCTACTTATGAGTCATGGTAGATTACAAATCTACACAGGCGGTAAAATAGTTTACCAACTTTTAATACCTGCCAGGCGAAAATGCATTTGGGCAGCCGAGCCTTCCTTGTATTCTCTCTCAGCAAAAAGAGGAAAGTAATGCAAATCATCTTTATCTAAAGCTTCTCTTTCGCCTTCAACCATCAACTGCCCTCGCTCCAGCTGGGAGTGAAATCGTCGAAGTTCTCTGTTTTTTTCTTCAATGATGCTTAATGTTTTATCAAGTTCTTTCTTTAAGAGATCCTTCATTTCAAAGGCCCTTCGTATGAGCTCTCGACGCTCTGTTTCAGACAACAAGGAATAGCTCTTTACTATGCTGGGACCACGGCTCAGTATTGTATCGTCTCTTGAAAGTCTACAAATCGTTGAAAAGCACAGTGTTGTTATAAATTTAATTGTCGTGGGATATCAAACTAGTGGGATGACTGGTCTGGTAATAGGCCATTTGGTGCTCAGTGTCTTGGCGTTTGAATGGAAGCGAGGCTCAGGTGGCTTTGTTGCCGGTTACTAACCTTCCCACAAATCGTGTCTTTCTCGTGCTAAAAAGCCTGTGAACATGTGAAAACAGGGAAGGCATGAAACGTACAAGGTCACCTACAGCCTCGCTTCTATTCAGAGGTCTGGGCACTGAGCACACAACTGGAAAGTGGACTGTTGAACTGACTGCTGGCTTCGATAAATAGCCGCTAAATTAAATATTTACATTCAACAGTACGATTTTTGTATACGTTCTTCATTTTTGTATTATAAAAAGTGTTTTCACTTTCATGCTATATGGCAATAGAAATCGCGTGACACTTAAGCCAGCGCATTAGAAAACTCACGCAACGTTTTTGATTTTGCAGAAGCCATCGCATGACTTTTCCGAAACAGCTGCTTTTTGCATCATCACCACAATTATTATACCACCTTGACGCGGAAGCGTTTTCTTTTCAGTAAAGTAGAAATCTTTTAAATTAAATGATTAACTCTAGTCTTTCAAGTCCATTTTCTGAGTAAACAGGGTGACGTTATCGAACTATTGTAATGTAAATTGTACACTTGTACTACTTCCGTTCCGTTAATACAAATACTTTTAGCTTTGATGAGAGATGGGTAAGATGTAAGGAAAAATACCTGGCCTCTGATACAGAGTATTCTACTAAAATGTATGTTTTTAAAATAGGTTACCGTTTGTGATTTCAAGCCATATTCGTCGCGTGACTAGGGGTAAACACAATATGCTCAGTATCCTCAGCGTGTTGCCAATAAATTAGGTTTGTTGCCTTATTTTTCATTTCAACACGTTGAGCAAATAAACTGCAATGTAACCTATAATAAGTTTATTTTCACTTACTGAGGATTCAAGCTGTCAAAACTATAGTCTTTTTCTTGACAGTGCTTTATCGTGTTCGAATTTCCATCTACAACATCGCCGTTGTCAGATCCGCTGTCGGAAGGGTCATCATATACTTCCTGGGTGGCTTCGACACTGTAAAAAGGCAATTCTACAACTTCACATTCATCTGCTTCATGGGATCTGCTCTCTTTCTGATCATCCTCTTCGTCCCCGTCTGCTTTTGTGGGATGCCAGAAATCTGCGAAGTGAATTAAGTCTGTCTCGCTGCAGTCCACGCCGTGCTCGCAGACCGGACGTCCATTTCCCGCGTCGACTTCCACGTGATCACTTTCAACTCGTTGAATGCTTTGGTTTTCCTTACAATTGTGAATGTCGAATGGTGACTCCTTTGAAATTAAAACATTGTTGTTTGAATCGCTGTTTTTCGAGATCTCGTCAATTTTAAGACGCTTTTCTTTTGGCCCCAAGTGTTCCATCGTGACAACGAAACTTGATCACGCGAAACTTTGGAGGCAAATCGGGGAGGGCCTGAGTCCCAAAAAAGTTCCAGGCTCTTTCATAAGATCACGGACAACATGGCGGACGGATCCGTTCTCGAATATTTTTAAAAACTTTTGGTGTGTTCTCTGAACGCTGTGATGTCGTTTCCGACCCCTTCGTTTGCTCACTTGAAGAAGACGGATTACGAAAACATTTATGAGCCTGCAGAAGACACTTTTTTAATGATGGATGCGTTGGAGAAGGATGCAGAATTTTTAAAGGGGCAAAGGTACTACTTAGACTACTTACTTAACTACTTATATTTTAATCCTCGTAGTCTAACAACTATACAGGATACTTAAAGAATGTCAATTAAAATACATTTTAAAGGATATCGTACTGCACACTTACAAATTTACAACTGGCTAATGTACACACATATACCGTAAAT